TCTTTCCCTTTCCTCTTCTTTATATGGCCCGCTAACCGAGATTCCGATCGCTCGAGCATTTTGGGACGCGGACCGAACGATAGCGACTTGAAACAAGACAGGCCAGGAAAGTTTATGATTCGTATTGCTAATTTCGGCTCTCTTCCGTAAAGAACTACGTCTAAATTTTTACGCGCACTGGGCAACTTCATAATGCTGCCATCTGGCGCGAAATTCGAGACTTACGCTCGAGATGCTGGAAAGTATACTTGCAGCCGGTATATTCGCGATCGATAACAGAGATTTTATGACACTCGAAAGATATCTCCTGTAAGACGACAAAAAAAGATTTGATTCGTCGATTCAAACGGCATTCCATAGATATCGGATATCTTATTTAATATGATAGATAATTAGATAATTTCATTGATTTTGGTAGATACAAGTTTTGTCCTCTTTCTTATTAACGCGCATACTGGTTAGATTAGTTTGAGTTATTCACAATACACAAACCTGTTGCTTATCTCTTACAAAAGAACCGACCCTTATTGTGGCATAAAACTACTTTTATTGATGTCGTTTAGAGATTCGTTTGATATTCTTCTAATAACGTCTGTACTTTATTATACAAAACTGGTCACTGATTTTAAAATAAATTCTGGTATTTATATAAATACTACGACTTTGTAATCGAAATGCAAGACAAAATGCGATCGTTTTGCTTTTTAAATTCTGAACTTGGCAACCAAAGCTGTTAATTCACCGAAACATTTACTTCGTAAAAAGATATGCCTGTAATATACGCAAAGTAAAAACAATGGCAGATGTAAAATAAATAAATGAGTAATGGGAAATCGTTAGAATTAAGTTTAGGAACCTAATATAGAAGATTATCTTTTTCGATGAATTGTATATGTGTGCGTGCAATATTAATGTAATAATATGTAGTGATGTGTCGATGTCTTATAAATCGCATGTTTATGTAGTAAATCGTATATAAGCCGTATTTAATCGGTAAAACAGCGATTCCGGAATTTGTCCGTCACGTCAGCATCCCCTTAACCCTCTTGACTCGCCTAATAAGTTAAATAAGAGATTGATCGAAAGTAGTATGTAATACTAGTACAGTCTTTATTAAACATTGTTGGTAGAACGCGTCATCGTGTCAACGAGGAGCACATTACTTTCTTTTTGAAACCTTTTTTTGAATTAACATAGATATATTTTTTAATTGATAATTAAATTTAATCGATATCAAATCATTTGAGGCAATATAATATTTTTATGGTTTTTATATTATATATTATATTTATATTATATCAATAATTAATCTTTAATAAGAATGTACTAGAATCAATACTAGGATAGAAAATCAATATTTGTCAAACGTGTATCTTATCAGAGATTTGCACTTATAAAATTATTCAGACTTTTAATAAACATACGGATAATATATATAATCTAATATTTTGTTTGCTCCCCCTAAGCTGTAATTACGTGTTCAGTATAGGTTTTTATTGGCCCGTATTCAGAACGCGCTTACAACGATGTTAGCGCGCTGACATATAATATTATACTTCACGTTACGCATATTATAGAATTTTCAGAGATAAAAGCGCGTTCTGAATACGGGCCATGGTCTATAGCTTACCTTGCATTTTCGAAAGTTGCTGAAGCACTACTACCTATTGCTCCGAAGCCTACACCAACTGCAAGACCCTCAGGAATATTGTGGACCTATTTGTAACAGTCAAAATGTTAAAAATATATTATTATTTATTTCATAATTATCATATAACGTAAAACAAATCTAAACAAGTGTGCTTTGCATGATTATTTATTATCTTGTAGAAATATACCGTAATTGCAACAATTAGCAGTAATATCCTCCGCCATTGGTTATTCTTCGCTTCGTTATTGGGATCTTCGTAAACAGTTCCAATTTCTGCTGATTCTGATGAGCGGTTTATATTCGGGATTTGTCGGCGTCTACTATTCTGTTCGTAGAAGCCTGAAAAATTAAATATTCACAACAACATTTACCACATTCAGCCAGCGCAAATTTTCGAAAACTGAGCCACGAGCACAGGACCACTTCATGCAAATGCAATTTGTGTAAGGCTTAAGAAAAGGAATTCTTCACGCACATAATACTTTCGATTAAATTTATTGCAATTGGATCCGTTTAGGCAGGATTAATAAGATCAGTTTATTTTTTTAAATTCCGTAAAACTGTTCACACAGGTCCAAAGTGTTTATATATTTTTTTTTATTTAAATATATAATATTAGATAATGTTTTTTACGCGGACGTGCACTTTGTATTAATGATGAGTTTAAACTGTATTTTTATTATATTTTCATTTTCGTTGTTTCACATTTTTAATCACATCACTCTCTGTAAGGTTTATAGTTTCAGTTTAGCTGCTATTTTTAATTGAATTAAGTCGGATATATAATTAGATTATTTTTATTTATGATATTTATATTGGACCTGTGTGCAAGTCCCACGTATTTCACTACGAATATCATGCATATGTTAATATAATGCTTGGGGTATTTTTAGAATAAATATGAATCAACTATTCCAATTTCTATTGAATATCATCATTTCTTATAAGGAAAACATACTATATTAATTTATGCAAACAACATATTTAATTGGAATAAGCAATGATTTTTGCATAAATTTATTATATATAATATTTAAATATTAGAATTTTAAATCAATAATATATATATCTCAAATTAATCAATGACTTAAGAATTTTTATCTTAAGAAAACGATATAACTTTTTTTTCGTATTAATGTGCATGTATGATATACAGAGTATTTTGCAAATAAAATATCCTAACAAAAAGGTTTTTAAAAAATTAAGTAAAAAAATTATGTGTACATTTTTATTTCAAGCAGTAGTTTCTGAGATATGAGAGTTTAAATATAGCAAATTACAGATTCCGCCTAGACAGTTACATATCCATGAATTACACGTGCGGTAATATTAAGTAAAAGTGCACTTCAACGTTAAAAGTTCGTCTAAACGTAGCTTGTAACTGGCTATATTTTAATTCTTATTATTTCACGAACTATTGCTTAAAATAAAAGTTTACAAATACTTTTTTACTTAATTTTATGAAAATTTTCTTATTGTGGTATTTTAATTTCAAGAATTTTGGGACATCATGTATATTTTCATCCTTGAATTTATTAAAGAGAAGAAGAAAATGTCAGATTAAAATTGTAAATTTAATTTATCTACATGATTTTTATTATCAAGCATCTTTATCAATTTTATCATAAACTACTATTTTTGTATAAGTACTTTTAATCATGCTACATGCAAAAATTATAACTTATATTGATTGGATAAAACAGATCGATCTAATAATAATTTGAGAAAATGCTTATTCCCGAATAAGAACCGAATACATCTGCGATAAAGCAAAGAGGGGCGAGTATATGTGGACGTTCATATACATATACCATTATAAAAATTTTTCACCGTTTTTAGCCCGTTTTTAGCTCGCACAAACGGTTAGTTTGAGTGATGGAAAAACGTGCATTCCACTTAATGAATATGACTCCGTTTTTAGATAACAGGAATTTAAAAACAAGTGATTAAAACAGAGTGCATATATCCGAGTTGTAATAATGTAAAATGAGCATTTTTGAATGGTAAAAACGTGCTGACGTGTAAATTTGAGTTGTAAAAACATATATACCGATATAAAATACTCGTTCAACACTTTCAACACTCACAACAACTTGTGTTATATATTACATTGTATACACTTACATTGTATATTTTAAAATAATGTGATTTGAGTAAAGCGTAACCGATAGCATGAGAAAATCAGCTCGCTCCGTCAGGATTTGAATCGAGGCCTGCAAGTCTCCGAGTCTCTGCTACGAGGCTGCCAGCTTGCTACTGATCCACATAACTTCTACGTTGATATTAGCTTTTGTGCTTTCTTATATATATCTTACAAAAGATTTTAATTATTATATACAATAGTGATTATATTTAATATATGAATTCTGTATACATATGTATATAACTGTTATATACATATATATACATATATATACACACATATATAAAATACGATATGTATATAAATATGTATATGTATATGTTATATTATAGGCAAAGTCCGTAAGTGGGCAGTATCGGCATTGTTTGGGCCGTGTCAACGTTGCCAAAAGCGATTGGATTGGGCAATGTTGACATTAGGTCTGTCCTTTTTCCATCCCAAGTTCTGAAATGGTGTACAACTAATGCATAAGTTAGAGCGAGACAGGTATAGTTTGTTTCACTCTAACTTATTGCACTAATTCAGAACTAATCCAGAATTCTTCGAAAAAGAATAGACCTACTGTATAGCAGGCAACTCGGGCAATGTCAACACTGCCCACTATGTGGACTTTGCCCGTAACATAATATATACAATAATAAGTGATCATTAGGGTAACTAGTATGCCGCACTTATCGAAAATTTAATTTATCAAGTACCGTATATTATGTTTAGATAAATAAATTATATTAACAAAAACGTTACACTATCAACTACTATAAAAAAAATTAGAAATACGATAAATATTTAGTTTTTATACTTAAAAGTAATATTGTTTTTATGTACACAAGAATTGTAATATATATAGTATAGTTGCACATACATCCTGCGAATTAGCTTTTATGCTCCTGTATTATTTTTTATGATAAGTAAATGACTTTTTAACTTCGTTCCGTATTGAACGAAGCTGATTGTTCTCAAAAATACACATCAGCTAAAAAACGAGTATTAAAAACAGAGAATATATTAAAAAATATTCATATGCATACTCGCATATACGTTGTTATTCATCAGCGGAAAAATGAGTATTGAAAACGGGCAATTTCCTCAAAATACTTATACGTATATTTGCGTATACTAAAAACGGACTAAAAAATGGTCCATGTGAGGTATAAAAACGGTGAAATATTTTTATAAAGGTATGCAAAAAGATATAGGCATATATGTACAGTATATACGTGTCATCTCACGAACTGATCCCATTTTCCAAGCCTATAAAGAGAAAGAGACATAAAAAAAACTGCGATTTTACGAGAAGAAAATGAGATACCATCGATAGCGGTCGATTCGACACGAGTGTATATTTTTCCGCCGGGTATTTGTACGTCGTTAAGTAACGGATTATAATCATCGTCTAAATCCTCGTCACTCTTTAGTTTCGCAATGATCTTGCGTCTTTGTTTCGTACCGACTGATTGCATAGCTAAAAGCACATTGGGGGACTGAATG